TAAGTGTTGGAAAGTTTTAAGCTTTCTTCTATACTCACACTGAACCTTCAGGTAATTGCACCCGGCCATCAAGCTTTAATTACCTTTATACTCTGGCCAATTTATATCCCTGTATCTCGCCTCTTTCCTGAGCTCCGGATTCTTGTATCCCTCTGCCTAACTGACATCTTCACTTGGATATCTAGGAGGCGTCTCAAAATGACACATCCAAAACAGAACTCTCGAGAACCTCTTCCTTCCAAACACGCTCCCTTCAGCATCTCTCCCATCTTGATAGTGCTACCGTTTCCCCCAACTGACCAGTTCAAAAACCTAAGTATCCGCCTTGGTTCTTCTCTTTCCCTCAAACCCCAAATCCCACCCATCTGCATGCCCTAACTTAAAAAACAATGCACACTGCCTTCGACCTCTCCTGCCACCACTCCATCCATGCTGCCATCACCTGTTGCCAACACAGTAGCCTTCTAATTGATCTTCCTGCTTCCTCATTTGCCCTCCTACAAGCCAGAGTCCTTAAGAGTAACCTGAAGGTGCTTTTAAAATGTTAAATCAGATCATGTCCACAGACTTGAAACTTTCCAGAGACACTCAGAGTAGAACCCACACTCCCTACTGTGGCCTCAGAGGCTCTCTGGGGCAGGGCTCCTGCCCCTTTCTAAGCTCTCCGGCTCCTAGCCTGGTCCACTCCTCTCCAGGGATGCTGGCCTCCATACTATTCCCTGAACATGTCAAGCATGCTCTTGCTTCGAGGTCTTTGTACTCACTGTTCCCACTGTCTGGGACACTCTTCTCCCAGATCTTCCCAGGGGTCACCCTTTGTATCCTTCTGGTCTGTTAAATATTACCCAATCAGATCAGTCTTCCCTGATCGCCCTACCTAAAACATCCAGCTTCCCCAACTAGTTCTCAAGCTAAACTCTACTTAATTTTTCTCCACTGTACTTATAATACCTGAAATTATATCATTTACTTTTAAAAGACTTATTTAATGCTCACTTTTCCACAAAAAAATGTAGGTTTCAGGAGGGCAGGTACTTTTGTTTGTCTTCAATGCTAATCTCCTGTGCCTGGAACACAGGGGTGCTCAATAAAGGTAGGTGAATGGATAAACGAGTTGTTTAAAATTTGGATTCGGCCAGGTTCAGTGGCACTGCCCGTAATCCCAGCACTTTGGGAGCCCGCGGGTTTGAGACCTGCCGGGACAACTTGGTGAGATGTCATCTCTACAATAAATAAAAAATGAGCCGGGCGTGGTAGCGCGCGCCTATAGTTCCAGCTACTTGGAAGGCGGAGGCGGAAGGATCGCCGGAACCCGGCAGGTTGAGGCTGCAGTGGCTGGGAGCAGCCACTGCACTCCAGTCTGGGTGACAAAGTGAAACTCCAACTCAAAAAAATAAAATAGAATAAAATTTGGAATCTATTTCCCTACAGAACAAATGTTCTTAGATTAGACCTCCAAGAAACCAATTGAATACATCATTAATTACACTTTAGGATTAACAATATTAGCCTGGTGTGTGGCTCTTATAAGAACTGGGATCATGTCACAAAAGACAAAGGTAAAGGCTGGGTGCAGAGGTTCACACCTGTAATCCCAGCACTTTGGGAGGCCGAAGAAGGAGGATCAATTGAACCCAGGAATTTGAGACTAGCCCAGGCAACATAGCGAGAAACCTTGTCTCTAGAAAAATTTAAAAATGAGCAAGGCATGGTGGCACACACCTGTACTCCCAGCTACTTGGGAGGCTAAGATAGAAGGATCACCTGAACCCAGGAGTTTGAGGTTGTGGCAAGCTGTGATCATGCGACTGTACTCCAGCCAGGATGATAGAGTGAGACCCTATCTAAAAAAAAAAAAAAAAAAAAAAAAGATAGCTGGGCATGGTGGCTCACGCTTTAATTCCAGCACTTTTGGAGGCCCAAACAAAAAGAATGCCTGAGCCCAGGGGTCGAGACCAGCTTGGGCAGCTTGGTGAGACCTTGTCACTACAATAAGCAAAAAAAAATTAGCCAGGTGTGGTGCACACACCTGTAGTTCCAGGGACTTGGAAGGCTGAAGTGGAAGGATTGCCTGAGCCCAACAGGTTGAGGCTGCAGTGGCGGGGAGCATGCCCCTGCACTCCAGACTGGACCACAGAGTAAGACTCTGACTCAAAAAAAAAAAAAAAAAGGTAAGACTCCTCCCCCTTCCTGAATGTACCTGAGTAAAAGTTACACATAGGAATTTTACCTATTTGGCATTTTACTTCCTTTTCATGCCTCTACCCAGGGCTCCTATGCTACCCTAAGTCTTCGCTTTTGTTTCTCAAATTGGCCTCAGATGTGCATAGTTTCCAGCCTGCTTCTAATTTCTTCCCCAGCAAGTTTTCCCTCTCTTCAACTGATTTCAGCTATGTGGTTATGAAGCAATTTGAACTGCTTATAATGGATAATGAATGAAAAAAATCATTCAACCCTCCCAGGCATCTGTACATATTTAAAAGACAATATGTACTGAATCAGTTAGTAATTGGTAGAATTTGGGGCATCAGTACTGCAAAGTAAAAAAACACAAAGTGGACAGAAGATACTTGTGGGCCTGGGAAAAATAACCACCAAATAATGCTTTGCACACTAGGAATTAATAAGTATCTGTTAAAGGAGTGACTAAGTGAGAGCAATCATGCCAAGGCAACTTCTCTGTCTTCCCTTGGGTCACCTCCCCTAAACTGTTTTCCTCCCCCATGAGGCAAAAGTTGTTTCTCATAATGGCTCCCTGGACACATCAGAAAAGGGAAGCACCAAAAAACTGTGGAGCTTAAGGGAGTGTGAAAGTTCTTGTGGGGTATTGTCCAGACATGATCTGCTTTCCCCCCAGCCCATTCCCTCCCCCCTTCACCCCCTTTCTTCTCCCTTCCCCCTCCCCTCTGTTCTCCATCCCCCCTCTCCTTCAGGAAGTGGTCTCTGGTCAATGCTGGTAATGTCATAGAATGCAGGTGACCATGCAAGGCTGAAAACAATGTAGTTGTGGCTCTTAATCAGTGCAACTGTAAATACCATAGAACAATTTGACTAATGAACTTGATTGCTTGGATTATAAAACTCCTTGCTATACTACCTCAGGGTGTGATTCTTCACCTGCCACCATCAGTGTCTCCTAGTAGTTTTCATAAACCATTGTCTTTCCCTGTTGGACCCCCAGGTGACTTCTTTGGAATAGGTAAACATTAAGCCGCAAGCCCTCTCAGATTTGAGGTTATCACATTACAGTTGTCAAAATTAAAATAGAGTCACATTTGTTAAAACCTTGACAAATGGAGCTAGGGAAGGTCATGAAGGGAAGATTTGCAAGCACAGATGCCTGATGATGCCTGATAACAAGAACTATCACAAAAGACTGCCAAAACCATAACTTTGCACAAAGGCCACTGCAACTGTATACACACGCAAATACTTCTGCAAGTATATAATCTGTCTGCAAGAGTGTCTGTCCAGCAACTGCCTATCCAACCTCGAAATGACGCCACCCTTGTTATTGATCCTTGCAGTCAAGGATAACTGATTCAAAATAATGTATGTAATCCTCTTCATTTTAAACGTCCTCTTGTCCCAACCCCCTCGAATAGGCACATGGTTTACCATGGCACACATAGTCCCATTGCACTGCTACTCTCAAATAAATATTTTCTTTTAGAGAGTCTCCCTTCCTAAAGAGGGTTATTTAGATTGACAGTGGAAGAGACAGAAGAAGGAAATGCCATATTTTTATAAGTCGCATTTTATTTTAAAATAAGTTTAAATAAGTGAATAATCAAATTAAAAGACCAATTTGATTATTCACTGACAGTATGCTAAATAATACTTAAGATGGTAAAATTATAATGTATTTGGAGAAAAATTACTTACTATTCAAAGCCTGTGGATTTAAAGTTCTCATTATAACTTATAGTTTTCTATAATTATAATTGCAGACTGCCAGTTGGAAAAAAGGGGGGGAGGGGCAGCTCCCCAGGTGAAATACAAAAAGGAAGATGGAAGGCAGTTTAAGTCCTCAACCCCTACTGGTCACCAGAAATCACCTGGATCTCCCATTAAGCCATACTCTGGGCTTCACCACACATTTACCTCATTAAATCTGGAGTGGAACACACTAGTCTTTAACAAGGGCCCCAGGTAAGTCTAAAGGTTGGGAAATCTTGAGCCAGAAAGCAAGAAGACCTGAATTAAAGCCACAACAGCAGAAATAACGTGAGAGGGCAAATTCCAGTCATATATCGACAAGGTAGAATGAACGAGGCGTAGTGACTTACTGGATACGAAAGACGAGGTGAGGAAGACTCTAAAGGTAAGTGGGATAATCGTTGTGCCATTAAAAAGAGCAATACTAAGAATTCGGAAAGATCAGAGGGCTTTGTTTTTAGGACAGAGTTTGAAAGGTAAGGACAAGCCCTCTTACAATGATGACTTCGATTTTGGTCAAAGTGAATCTCAAGCACTTATGGGACACTCGGAAGAACTGTCCAGAAGGCATTCACGCATAGGGCCTAGAGTTCAAAAGGATGTCCAGGAAATGGAGACACGAGTTAGGGAATCATCGGTATCTCAGATTATGCCAACTGCAAATTCGCCGGGCACCTTACCGAGAACTGCAGCTGAGCGTAGGGGACCGTGAGAGACTGCAGTGGGGCCCAGCGAAGTCCTCCTTAACTGTCAAAGCTCGCTCAGACCTTCCCGAGCCGAACCCAGTCTCGAGCAAACGTCTAATCGCGAGAAGCCAATGGCTGTCACTTCTGCCCCCAGTTCCGCGGTGAAGAGAGACCTCCCCGCTAAGGCCCCCTAATTCCTGAATGGGTATGGAGAGAACAGTCTCAGGATTGAACGGTCGGAATCCCCCACCCAGTTAAGGGGAAGGAGGCGGCGAAGCGGCTTAAGATGCGGGGTCGGGCCCGGGGACTCCTTGTCCACGGAGTCCGCGAAACTTTCCGCCCTCCCGGGATCCTCGGCGGCCCATCTCCACTCACTTCTCGAAGGGTCCGGCCCAGCATGGTCCTTGTGCTCAGCCTGCCACCCCAGGGGACAGGTGACAAGGAGGGAAAAGAAGGTCAACGACGGCTAGCAGTAAGGCATGGGAGCAGCCATCTTTAATCGTCAGCGCACCCTTCAGCACCGAGCTCGTTGATTGGTTGAACTGCAGCCCGAGGAAATGATCCTTGCACACGATTGGCTGGTGCCGCAAAGCCTCCCCGGCGACGGAGAGAGCGGGCGGGCAAGGAGACTCTGGGCCCGGGTCGTGGCGGCAGGCGACAACTTCTCTAGGGTGTCGGATCTCGAGCGGTGTCAGCTTGTACGGCTGAGGGCTCCCAGGACAGGGCAGGGATCCAAGAGGGTTGCGCACTTGCCGTTGTTGTTGTTGTTGTTGTTTTTTAAAGAGGGGTTAAGAGAGGGAGGAGAATGGGCAGAATGCTGACGGGAACCTGAATTGGAGTATTTCAGATGCGAAGAGCAGAATAACGCACCCTTGGGTCAGCTGCATTTTCGGATGCTCAGTTTTGAACGCCCAGTTTTGAAACTACCCTTTGTGTTTGGCAGAACTGGAATGGATTCAGGGGTGAGAGTTTGATCCGGTCAAAGTGCATCTTAATTGAGGCGCGCCGTTCGGCCACGCTTGACGATGGAATTTCTGAAGACCTGGGTGCTTAGAAGAAATGCACGTGCTGCGGTTTGCTTCTGGAAAAGCAAAGTCGTTCAAAAGCCTTCAGTTAGGAAAATCAGTACTACCTCTGCAAGGAGCACGGTCATGCCTGCTTGGGTGATCGATAGATATGGGAAGAATGAAGTGCTTCGATTCACTCAGAACATGATGATCCCTATCATACACTATCCAAATGAAGTCATTATCAAAGTTCATGCTGCGAGTGTAAACCCTATAGATGTTAACATGAGAAGTAAGTTTTCAAAAGACATTCTTCTTTCCTCTTAGTTTTTTAAATCATTTCTTTAGGTGTGCAGTTTTAAAAGATGAATTGTTCTTGGACCACACGTCTTCGGTTAACACAAAGGAATCGTTTCGGTTGTTGACAATACCTCTGCAAATATTATTTCCAAAAATTTTGAAATTGCCGTGGCCAGGGTATACTTTAATCTTTTACAGAGTGTGTTTGATTGTGTCCGTGCTTCCTTAAAAATGTCAATTGAGAGTTGTGTCCACAGCTGTCTGATACACTCCCTTGGGAACTTGGTGATATTCTGAGGTCTGTCACAGGCTTTGGAGTTATGGTTATGTTTCCTCATCAGTTCAGAATTTGCATTTTTTATAATAATTCCTGCCCTGTTTACTCTCCCATTACTCAGCTTTCTTTCTTGGTCCAGTAGACAAAGCAACAGAACAGGACACAGTACATTCCTCATTTCTATTGCATTTTGCCCTCCGACTTAATACACTTTCCTGCTATTCTTCATTTTTCTTTTTTTTAATCAATATTTTTATTATGATATTGTGGGGTGCAGTTAAGGGTTAGATATACAAATATGCTTCGTTCAGGCACCCTTGTTGATAAGAGGTGTCTCCCCATCCCCAGGCAGATGTTTACTACCATTAATCC